CGAAGGAACATGTATTCTGTGGTTCCATTTAAATTAAATGTTACATGTATAAATCTATCATAGATTTATATTTGTGTGTAGATGTGAATGCAAGAGTAAAAGCATTCTGTACCAGACATGGTGGCATATGCCTGTAATCCTAGCACTGAGGAGACCGAGTCAGGGGGATGACAAATTTGAAGTCATCCTGAAAAAAAAATTTTTAATAACTATTAATAATAGTTACTGCTGGTCTAAGAGAGTAGAGGCAGGGTTTGGGATGGACAGGAGGTTTTGTGTTTTACTGTATGTCTCAAATGGCTCCTTCTGAGAATATATTGATGCAGTATGTATGTAATTTAAAATAAGGAAAAGAAGAATATTGAGATCAAAGAATAAAATTGAGGTTATGATGGGATTTAGTTGCACAGGGTTGAGGCATCCAGTTTGATGAGTGAGGTGTTTATTGGTAGAAGTGCAGAATAATGTTGGTTTTTTTTTTTTTTTTTTTTTGGTACCGGGGTCGAACTCGTGACCATGCGCTTGCAAAGCAGGCGCTTATACCGCTGAGCTAAATCCCTGGCCCCAAAATAATGTTTAATGTGAGAAAATTAGGACTAAAGTAAAGCAGAGCTCAGAACTAGAAAGGAGAGCTCAGACTTCATGTCACAGCTTTGATATTAATTGGACTCATTAAAGTGCCAGAAAGGGCCATAAAAGTTCAGTACCACCACAAAGCCACTGCATTAACCTTAGGTTAGGGAGTATAGTAAGGATCAAGTTGGGGCAAATTTCGTATCAAACCACCTAAAATTTTCCATTTGTCAAATTTAGTCAAGGTTGACTTTGGTGTGCTTACTTGACGTTAGACCTATCAGATGAGATTAAAGAAAAAAAAAGCAAAATGAGTTGAATTAGTTTCTCCCAAAGCAAAACTACTGGTGGCTTCATAAAGCAAGACTCAGCCGAGTCCCCTCTATTTAGAAGAGGCCACCTGGGCCTAGCAGGCATTTTATGGGTTTCTGTTACAGAACTGCTTTAAGAAGCCCTGTAAATCTGGTCATTGACAAGCACTGTAGAGTGCCTCTTCCTTACAGTGGATTCCCAGTTCTTGCAGGTGAAAATCCCACTTCTATGCCCTGACATAAGCGTCCTGAGTGGACACTTTCCAGAGTGACCCTTGCAGTCTCTTTCACACCAATCATGCCACAGAGAAAAATCCCCAGTGCTGGTTTCTCACCAGCATCAGACAAAGGGAGCTGTTGCCCTGTTCCCAACGCTGTCCTTTGTCTCTTTCCTCAGTTCCCCTGGAAGACAGAGGCCAGCCCCTTACTTGTCTTGAGACTTTGCTAAAGGCTGGATCAGTACAGAGAGAAAGCTCAGTATAGGAAAGGGATACACTGCCACTAGCAGACCCCACCCACGCAGGTGTCTCTGATCGCTTTCACTCTTGGCCTGGCCATTGGCCGGGCCAGGTTATTTCCCAGTGAGATTTCTGTTTCTCTTCCCTTTAAGCTCAGTTCAACTGCTGAAGGGTTTGGAGAGGAGCAACAGTTCATTTCAGACTCCTCTGAGGAGTTAATCAACCTCAGCGTGCCTCAGTTTCCTCTGTTGTAAAATGTGAAGAATAATACAGCTGCTACACTAATTGTGAATATCTAATGAACGAAGACATGTAAAGCTTTGAGAGCAGCATCTGACAGTCAGTTCTGTATAGATACCTCCCTTAACCCACATACCTTCCATGTATCACACCTTTTTTTGTTTTTCTTTTCGTTTCTTTTTTTCTTTTGAGATAGGATCTCACTGTGTAGCCCAGGCTGGCCTCGAACTCATGCCTCAGCCTCTTGAGTGCAGGGATTATAGGTGTGTGCCACCACGGCCGGCAACTTATATTGCATTTAATTGATTATGAGATACCATGAGAGTGCTCTCTGGTGTGAACATTGCTTTTTTTTTCCTAGCAAACTGATGAAGGGCCTACTATGTGGTCTATTTTCTGAATGCATGTGCGTGCATCTTTACTCATGAGTGAAGGCAGGTCTAGAGCTCTGTTATTTCAAGGGTAGATAATAAAGGAGCTGCACTGAGCACCAATAATCTAAACATTTATTTATTTAGAGCCAGGACCTCACTAAGTAGTTCAGGCTGGCCTTGAATTCATTACAAGGCTTGAATGAACTGGTTGGGGCATCTCATACTTGCTGTGATCCACCTGCCTTCACCTCCTAAGTGCTGGTATTACAGACCTGCACCGAGCTGAATATTTAAAAGGAGTCAAAGATAGGGCAAGACAAAGAGACTGGGGCTAGAGTTTGAAGGGACCATTCTGTAAAGAGCTAGCCTGACCCCTCGGTCTTCTAAGTCTTCGCCTTATCCCCACTTTCCCTTGGTCTGTCCCCCTTCGCCTGCACTAACCCTCATCTAACCTGTGCTCATCCATAGTGCAGGTGAGCCAGAGTGTGATACTTAATGATATTACTACCTGCTCAAGAATCACAAAAGGGACTCTGTGCATAACTGGATGGCTTGAGTCCTGCCCCTGGCTGCTTTATGTGTGACCTCTCCTTGCTGCCATCATCTCCATGACAGATTGGGAAGTGAGGGAGGACAGAGTCAGCCTTGTCCTTCCGTCCTTTACATAGGCAATGGGTATCAGGTGCATTAGAGGAAATACTTAGTGTTGGTTATGTTTAGGTAGCAGTGTCATAGCCCACTATTGAAACAGAAATAGTGACATTCTTAAAAAACAGATGATAAAATCAATGAACTTCCTTCAGATGCAGAAAATAGTTTATGATGGTTGTTAATATATGTTCAGGAATCTGTGAAATCAGGAATTTGAAAATATTTCAAATCTGCACCTATCATGGAGTATTTTTATTTGCATAATTATAATCAGAATATGATTCTCCCTGTATTTCCCTAATGGGCTTCTCTAAGGAATATTTTGGATATACTGACAGAAAAGTCTCTATTGTTGCTGGGGTGCAGTAGTACAGGTCTATAAGCCCAGAATGCAGGAGGCTGAGGTAGGAGGATTGCTGTGAATTTGAGGCCAACCTGGTCTACATAGTGCGATCCTGTCTCAAAAAAATAAACAAAAACCTCCTTTGCAGATTTTTCCAGTTTCCAGTGAGACAGAAGATAATGATAGAGGTTTTTTTTGTGCATACATTAAAATAATACATCCTGGTGAGGAGGGGTCTCATAGAGAAAGACCTATCATCTGTAATAACCTTCATCTTTTTAACTGTGAGAACTTTGTTATTGTGAATAATATTCTCAAAGGTTTGCTAAAAGGATAAAGGTCTGATAAAAACTATTTACTTGAGGCTAAGTGTGGCAGTGCATGTTTGTAATTCCAGCACTCAGGGGGCTGAGGCAGGAAGATCCACATTAGTTTTAAGGCCAGCCTGGACTACATAGCAAGATCCTTTCTCAAAAAAAAAAAAAAAAAAAAAAAAAAAAAAAAAAAAAAAAAAAGCTATTTAATTGAAAGTTGTAAAGTTGTTAAATACAATGGGTTAACCAAGTTAAAAATAATTTTACATATCTTTTTCATTCAGTATGTTTTTCATGATGTTTCAGTGTATTGATAATGTGGTCTAGTATATCAGTTTATTTCAGTACCTCATTTTGAATGCAATAGTTTGCTAATGGTTGAAGAGCTCTCTTGAGGATGAAATACTTTTTGTTAGAAGAATCTGTGAAATAATTTATGTCTATTAAAAAAAAAAAAGCTCTAGCCTTTTTTCTCCTCTTGAGATAAGAGTCTTACTAACTAGCCCAGGCAAGCCTTTGAATTCATGGTGATTCCCCTGCCTCAGCCTCTGGAGTGCTGAGATTACAGGCATGCGTCATTACCCCTAGCTACCTTGAAAGTTAAAACATTTTTTTTAATGAGAGACTCTGATCTTGCAGAAGTGCATACTAGAGAGAGATCATTTTCTGTGAGATTTAAAGACATTTAAATGTACTGTACCTTAAGGACATGGACAAAGTGAGGTTAGCTTTAACAGCAGCCTATGAAGCTTGAGAAAAATCAGATATAGAACAAATTGTAAGGAACTATACCACAAGTGTTAAATTGAGGTGATCCCGGCAAAAATATTTGGTGGCTGTAAAGCTATTTCAAATTTATCTGTAGAAAGTGTTCCACTTGGAGAGGCAGTCCGCGAAGCGAGACTGCTATAAGCAGTTGAGTCTCTTGGAGAAATTAGGCGTATATGGAAGAAGTATGCACTCATGCACTCAGTGTGCTGGAGAGGAAGGACAAACCCAGCAGCTTAGATCCTACCCTGGCCCTCAAGAAGTCTTCTGGAGAGGACTGGGCAGGTGTCCTGCTGTCTGAGACTCTGCTAATCTGAGGCTTCAGGGGAATCTAGGGAACCCATCCATCGTCCATTTCATTTATAGTGAGTATGGCTTACATAGTGAGTATGGCTTACAACAGATAACATTGTCTGCAAAGTGAAAGAACTGAACCTATGATCTCTCTTGCTATTGAAGTGCAGAACCTTTATTATTTTTTTTTTTCAATTTTAGTTTCTAGACCCTTAAACATCCACCAGGGCTGGCAGTCAATCTTACTTTCTTGAAATCAGAGCTAGACTAAGGGTTGGAGCCATTTGGGCAACTCTGGGAAATTTATGCTGATGAAGAAAGAGATTTAATTAAACTGGATGGGGAGCTGTATCATTCATGTATTCAGCCAGCACCGAGGCCTTCCTCTTGTATACTCCAGGCCCTGCACAAAGCACTGACACCCACAACAAAATGAGACCTGGTTGGTGATAAGGAACTTTCTCAGACAGCTAAAATCTCTTTTGGGGTCCATGCTGCAGCTGGCCGGACAAGAGCCCTGGCAGGACAGAAGTGAGGATCAGAGCCCTGTGGGCTTGTCAATGCTTTCCCCAGACTACCTGGAAAGGCGTGGTTTTGAAAGAGAAACCAAGCAGAAATCTTTCTTTTAGGGAGACCTTGACACATTCCGGTCACTTCTGCCAAATTTTAATGGACCGATATTCCTAAGAGGGAAGAACTGGCCCATCTTTGGAAGTGGAGGAAGAGTTCCCTCAAAGGGGCTGCATTTCATAAAGAGCGCCCCCAAGAGGGGGACTACTTCAACCTAGCAGAAAAATAGCAAGAGCAAAAATTTCAAAGCAACCCAGGCACTACGAGAAGGGGACGGTGCGCGTCTGGAGCGATTTCCAGGCTTTTTCCATTTCGCCTAATGTGGCAACAAGGCAAGATTTGTTTGCTTTATTTATTTTTCAATTTTAAAAGCTTTTTCTTTCCCCGTTATCTCCCTGCCAGCCACTCAGGTTTGGGTTTTCCATATGACTCACGATTCCTTTGGAAAGTGGAGTCGAATTCATAAAAGTGGTGTGTACGGGGGAGGGCAGGCCGGGAGCCCCAGGGAGTCCTCCCTCCCTACACTGTCGCTCCGCTCCCGGCGCGAGTGGAGGTCGGGGGTGGGGAAATCCAGTCTGCGCCCGGGGTGGAGGATACTATCAACGCCGGGGCGGCGCGCGGCCGGCAGGGTGGCGGGCGGGCGGCAGGCGGCGGGCGCGGAGGGTCTGCGGCGGGAGGCGCTGCAGCAGGCTGAGCTCGGCCGCCGCCCGCGGGCGCGAGTGTGCAAGGCCGGCGTGCGGCCGCGGGGGGTGTGCGCGCGTGAGTCCGAGTGGGGCTCGCCCCTCGCCGGCGCCAGCCGAGATCGGATCTCTGCCCCGAGTCCCGGCCCCCCTCCCCGGCCCTCCTGGCCCCCCGCGGCGGTTCCTCGGGCGGGGGAGGGAGAAAGTGAGAGTCGGTGTCAGCGGCATCCATTGTCAGAAGGGGAGGAAACTGGAATCCAGCCGCGGCGAGCAGCAGCTGGGCGGCCACATCTGGGAATGCAAAGCCGACCTCCCCCTCCTCCGCCGCCTCCGCCGCCGCCTCCTCTCTCACCCGGGATCACTTCCGAAACCACTTCGCCTCCAGCCCCTGCCTCGGCCAGAGGTTTCGTTTTTAACTGAATATTTACGAAAGCTGGCAGCGTGCGAGGGGGGTGGGGTAGGGTGGAAATAGTGGCTGCTTCTTTTCCAGGGATTTATTTCATGGGGATGTGTTCAAGGCAAGAGCGAATTCAGAAGGATATCGACGTCGTGATCCAGAAGTCCAGAGCCGAGAAGGACTGCCTGTTTGCAGGTGAGTTCTCGCCGTCACCGCGCCTCGGACCGAAGCCGGCTTCCCCCGTCCGCCCTCCGCCCGCCGCCCCCTTCCTAGCTCTCCGATCGCGGCGTGTGCCTGGGGAGCGAAACTGTGGGTTGCATGTCCCCATTCCGGGGTTCAGTTGGCAACAGCTGCTGCACTGAGAGTGGGAGCCAAAACGGGGAGGGGGCAGCAGCCGTCACCTCCCCACTCCCGGGAGCCGTGCCACCACCAGCTTTGGGGGCAGAGCCCGTGGAACCCGCGCAGGGTCTCGGTCCCCGTGCATGCCGGAGCCCGCCTCCCGGTGTGGGCAGCGGCGAGCGGGGTGGCTGTGGCTACACCCTCCGGCTTTGCGCAATGGGCTCAGCGGCGGCGGCCGGAATGGAGCCGCTGCGCTGCGCTGCACTGCACTGCGCTCGGCTGCTGCGCCCTGCGCCCAGGCCCCTGGAGACGAGGTGGGAGGGGAGCGCCGCCAGCTTTCGGGACCCCGTTTGGCTCCCTCTGCTGCTCTCCTACTAGCAAAGTGATGCCTCAGAAAGCGAAGGGACCCGTAGGTTCCCGAGGTACCCAGCGTCCCAGCCGGGGGGTCGCCTTTCGTCCATTTTGCTCCCCCGAAAGAGGAATCAGATTTTGCTTTTGCTGGCTGAAGCCCGGCGGGGGCCGCTTCCGGCTGCCCAGACCTGAATATTCCCCCCGTTGCCATGGCACCAGCACTTGTTGCAGGGGGCGGCTTCCCGGTGCACGGGCCGGGGGTGCGCCGCATCCCCTCCGCGCAGCGGGGAGCGGGGACCTTGCTGCTCTCGCGCCCCTGCCTCCTCCCGGGCAGGCCTCCCTGGCTCGGGTAGATGGGAGGCTTGCTCAGGATTGGGGTTAAAAACCCACTCAAGGGGTAGCTTTTAACTAGACTTTCTGTTTCAGATTTCAGATACTCGGACTCCACCTTTACTTTCACCTACGTTGGCGGCCCCAGAAGGTATTTATGTGTGTATAGTTGCTTCATTTCCTGTTCACACGCTTGTGTTTCCTTTGTTCTTCGCTTGTTCCCCGTTTGGGTATTTTGTTTGCTTGTTTGTTGAATTATTGTTGCTGTTCCCCAGACACATCCCAGACCTGATGTACCTCAGGTTTAAAGAGTAGCGAGGTAGGGGGTGGAGGATAAATATGTTTTGTATGAGGTGTTTGTAAAATCACGCTACAGGCAAAGAGCAGAACTCTGTGTGTTAAAACTGCTCTGCGCCCACAGTAGATTGCTCTTGAGGCTGGCTAGGGTTGATACCGGCAATCGAGTGGAAAGCAGTATGAAGTGAGGTGCATGAGACATAAAATGTCACGAAATAGTTTGATCACAAGCGATGATTTTCTTGGTGAGTTGGGGCTGTATGTTTCCATGTTTTCTGAAGGTTGTCATAAACATACATTCTGCCAGTTCTTCAGAGAGCTTTTTTTTCTCCTCCAAGGTCTGATATTTTGGTTTTCACACTTAGTTGTAGGAAAGAATTTGGAGTTACATGTAGCTGGAGTGGATGACTTCTTTCTTTTGGGGGAAGGATGAGTGATGCATATTTTAGTAGCATGTCGCCAACAATTTGAAACAATCCCAAATCTAATTTTGTATTGAGGAAGTGGAGATAAAATATATCTTCATTTTACATCTTTATTAATGCTGTCTTCATTTGTGAAGTTAGGATTTTCTTCGTTTTAGCCCTTCAGGGACAAGAGTGATTGAAAAAGAGCAGTGGCCACATATGAGAACAGTTAGCTGTCTCAGCCCACCCTAGTATTAGGACTTGATAGTCAATATTGTTTGACTATGTTCCAAAACATCTCTTAGCTGATGGAAACATTTATGAACATGGAAATCAAAAAAGAAGTGAATACTTTTGTGACTACTGTTTAAAAAGCTTGGTATGAATGTGAGCCTTTAAAGCACTAGGGATGTCTGTTATATTCTGCATCTCAAAAACAGCTTTAATTAGAATAATTATTAGGTTTCCCACATCTACAGTATTCGCAATTCCTAGGATTCATATATTATTGCTGTACTGGTTGAAAATAGGGAACCACCCAACTTCCATCTTTACTTTTTGGGAGCAAATATAGTTACATTATCTTTTAACTTAAGAGAGTACCGTTATCCTGGTAATTATGGATGAAATTAAATTAGAGGCTATTTGATTAAATTAACACTGCTGCCACACTTAATATCCAAAGAACCTCAGTACTGTATGACTAATGTTCTCTTGGATTACTTTGGCAGTTAAACTGTGCTGTGTGACCCATTGCAAACATTCCCACACAAGCAGGTGGCCATGTGCTGAGCTGTCTGTTGATACAAGTTTTGCCATTCTGGTGGAACTGTGTGCTCAGGAATACCTGGAGTGGGCTTTCCAACTAACTGGGTTTCTGATTTCTTTCTCTAAGATACCTCAATTCTTTTGGGTTCAGTTTATTTATGGGTAAAATGAGAGATAACAACATGCACTTAATCTAAAATCTGTTAGAAGCTGCAGTCAAGATTCTTTAGCAGCAAATTAGTGCACTACTCTGGTGATCACATAGCTGGAGGTGGAGAAGGTATGCCAGTGTCCAGGAGGCAGGCTGGGGTGCTGGGATGAATAATTGATTAATCAAGGTAACATCCATTTTCACTATAGCAGCAAACACCTTGGTTGCTCTTAAAGTAAATGTTTTCTTTTGTATGCAATCCTATTAAGGGATAGTGTTTGTCTTTGGTTCCTGATTTAAATACCTGGGACTTGTACATCTACTATAGAAGAGTCTGTAAAAAGAGAACACCCGGTAAAATTGTACGGGTACTTTGTCTTCTTAAAGGCTTCTTCTGCAATACACATAAAAAGTTGCTTAGGTGTAGGGCAGAAAATAATTCCCGCCACCTTTTTTTTTCAGCACTAGGAGTTGAACCCCAGGGCCTTTGCCCTGGGCTACCTCCCCAGCTCCCTTTTATGGTTGTTTTATTTGGAGACAGGGTCTTGCTGAATTGCCAAGGCTGGGCTTGGACTTTCATTCCTCCTGCTTTAGCCTCTTAAAGTGCTGAGTTTATAGGTGTGAGCACCATGCCAGGCTCAGAAGATAATCTTTGTATTGTTTTTACTTGAGGGTAGAGGGACCATGATTTTCCTGCAAGCAAAAACATATTCTTTTCTTTTCTTTTGGTGGTACCTGGGATTGAACCCAAAGCCTGCACAGTGAGTTTCATTAGCACACACCTCCCCTGACGAAATTTGAGCTGGCTGAATTGCCCAGGTTGGGCTTGAATTTGTGACCCGTACTACCACATCTGGCTGGATGCCTGTGTCTTATGAAGAGAAAGTCATGATTATCTTTTTTTTTTGTTTTGTTTTGCTTGCCTCAGCCTAGTATTATAGGCATGACCACCATGCCTGGCTGTACATGATTTTTTTTGAAGTGTATTTAACTACCATTTCATCTAAACTATTGAGAGCATATTTTTTTTTTGAGAACATTTTAAAAATAATTTCATTTCAAGTTGTAGATAAAACTTAGTACATCACTTCCTTTCTCTATGAATTATATGTTATTCTAAAGGTAAGGGCTATTGTGGTGTGACAGCACATGTCTGTAATCCCAGCACTCAGGAGCCTGAGGCAGGAGGATCACCTGGAGTTTGAGGTCAGGCTGGGCTATGTGGTGAGGTGAAGGTGAGCCTGAACTGCATAATGAGACCCTGCCTCAAAAAATCAAAAAACTTCCCAAGAAATTCACCAAAGGGGGAAAAAAACCCCGCTAAAGATTGATCTTTCATATTCTTTCCAAGAGAGAACTACTGAACCATATTACTTTTTTAATCTTAATTTTATGTTTCTGTAGACAACAGCCCTACAAAGAGGCGAGTGGTTCTTAGAGAGGTGCAGAGCGCTGTTAACATGTGCTGTTCTGCCCTGGTGGGCGTTCAGTGCTGAGTGACAGGAAGGAAGGGTCAAAGACCCAGTCATCTGATTGTCCGTAGGTGGTAGGGTTCATGGAACAGAAATGTGTTATTCACATTTGGGATGAAAAGCTCAGAGAGTTTCCTCAGCTCCTCAGTGCAGCCGAGCTGTAAGGCCCGCTCTGCACATCTCAGACCTTCTGAACACGGAGACTCCATCTAAGAAGTTGCTTAGTGAGGTTGTCGTTACTTTTTTCCCCCCTTTTTTGGCAGTGCTGATATCAAACCCAGCAAGCATCACATGCATACGAGGCAACCATTCTACCACTGAGCTATGTCCCCAGTCTTGTAAAAGCTGTGACTTTCATGTTTGTTGATTGAAATAGAACCCTGAGCTTTTAAAAATACATGAGTGAGTGTGGTGGTGCATGCCTGTCATCCCAATACACGGGAGGCCGAGGCAGGAGGGTTGTGAGTTCAAGGCCATCCTGGAGTGAGGTCATCCTGCACAGTGAGGTAGTCTCAGTAAAACAAAGCAAAAAACAAAAAATTATTGTTTATAAAAAAATCAGAAAAAGAGGTGTCAAAAATAAGAAAATAAAGACAGTCTCTTATATTTCATTCATTTTCTTGTCTTCTATTAACGTATTTAGTGTTTATGCTTTTTTTTTTTTTTTTGAGTAATGGTGACTAAATCCAGGACCTTCCTACTTAGCTGGGTCCCCACTCTTTTTTATTTTTCCTTTTGAAACAGGGTCTCCCTGAGTCTCTAAGGTGCTCAGGCTGGACTAGAACTCATGATCTTCCTGCCTCAGCCTCTAAGGGTACAGTGTGTACTTTTAGAATTTTTATGAGTATATTTGTTTGTATACATACATCCAAAGGCTGTAATATTCTTTACTTTTTTTCACCAGGAATATAATTTTAGTGTTTTTCCTTTAGAAAGTTTATGAGAATAAAGAATGTTTTATTAAACTGAATTTCCCAATCAAGGAGTATTGTAATATTTCATAAGAAGTTACTATAATATTTCTATTAGAAATTACCATAGCTGATGTGTCGTAGCACACCTGTGATCCCAGCAGTTAGGAGGCAGAGGCAGGAGGATTTCCTCAAGTCTGAGGCCGGCCTGCACTACAAAGTGAGACTGTTACAAACAAAGCAAACAAACAAACATACATGTACACACAACAAAAGAAATTACTATAAAGTTTGAAATGTATTGTTTGGAAGAATGTTTGAGATTGTGTGTCTGTATATTCTGTTATATGAGTAGACACTTTTCACGTGATTGTGGTGAATGGTGTCTTTCGAAGTATTTCCTCTTTATTCGGGTAAATGCTTCAGAGCATCTGGTGTGACACTAAGAACAGTCTTCCAAAATTGCTAAAAGCACGTGTGACCTCCTCCTTTTCCTGGGGTCTCTGCCCATTCTGCCTGGACCCTCACCCTTCCTACACCCTCCTCTTACTGTCTTCCCTATCCTGTCCTGGGTTGTTTCTCTCCAACATCTTGGCTAAGTCAGACTTCCCTCTGAGAGTCTTTCTTGGTATCCTGCTCTCTATGGTTTTGCTACGTGTTTCTGAGACCAGGCTGTCACAATGTACAGATGCTTCTCTGCACACGGAAGGGCTCCATTCCTGGCAAACTCGTGAGAAGTTGAAAGTCTGGTAGAGTGAATACAGCCAGCTGGTGAAGCTCACCTGTTGGTGCAGTGCGGCATGGCAGGGTGTTGGTTCTGCCCCCTGATCCCGTGGTGGACGGGTAGCTGCCTAGCATTGTGAAGGGTGTCGGGCAGCAGGTGCATTACCAACCTGGGAAAAGGTCAGAGTTAAAAAATCCCAGTACCATTTCTACTGAATGTATGAATGGAAACTTCTATGTGTGCTTACATCTGTTTCCTCGGGAGACTTTTAGAGCCCCCTTGAGTACTGCCGAGTACCGTATTTTTTCTCAGTAAGTAGATGTTGAATGAATTACGAAGTGAATGCTGAAAGATCTAGAAGATGAGCTCTAATCTGAGTGACCCATTGTGGAGATATTTGGACACTGAAGAGAGTCGCTCT